GAACACATCTCACCACGCTAAAACAATGGATGTGGCTCTGAATGAGACATGCTGCATTATCACAAGGTGTCTGTACCCTACACCACTGTAGAAACTACACTGTTTAGCCGGTATTGCACCGCCTGACATCCGCCTGGGAGTAGCAACTAATAGTGAAAGGATCAAGGAAGTGGCATCTCCAGCTCAAACCTTGTTTGGGTATCAGCCAGCACGTCAACAACTTAAATCAAGAAATAGTTTTCTAAGATGTAGAGAGACACTCTCTGGAACACCCCAGCAAGCGAGAGTCCAAAAGTGGCAGGCTCAAACCCAGAACCTCAATCCATGGTTGATACCAAATGAGACTCCCTCCTGGGCACAAAGAAAACTGGGCAACTTGGAAGGCACTGAACAGACCGCGCTCTGGCACCACGAGATGCAAAGCCAACCTCAAGAAATGGGGCTACAAAGTGGAATCCACAACATGCGAGTGTGAAGAGCAAACCACTGACCACCTGCTGCAATGCAACCTGAGCCCTGCCACATGCACAATAGAGGACCTTCTTGCAGCAACACCAGAGGCACTCCAAGTGGCCAGATACTGGACAAAGGACATTTAATCAACTACCAAGCTTGCAAACTTTGTGTTTTGTTTGTTAAAAATGCAATACAAATGTTTGGTTGCTCCTGGCACGATAAATCAATCAATCAATCAATCAGAGCATCCCATTGATTGCATTGGGTTGAACCGAAATGTGGCCAAAGGAACGGAAAGCGGGCAGACAGGAATGGTTCTTTCCAGTATTAAAAAGAAATGGGTTTCCCTGAATTCCCAGGATCAGAGGAGATAGGTCAGTGTTTCTCAACCTGGGGACTGGGACCCCTGGGGGGGGGGGGCTTGTGAGGGGGTTTCAGAGGGGTCACCAAAGACCGCCAGGAAACATATATTTCCGACGGCCTGAGGAACCCCTTTGGAAGAGAAGGCTGAAGTTCTCTCCGCCTGTGCTTCTCTTCCTGCCACCCAAAGCCCTCCTCTGCTGTGATTGGCTGGCCTCTCAGCCAAAGGGAGGGCTCTTTCCGAGAGTCCAAGCTGGGAGGGGAGAGCAGGCGTGCTCAGCGCATGCCTGTCCGTGTATGATTTATGTCTGATGTATGTTTCATTGTAATTTTCTGCGATAGGATTGTAATTGTAGTAGAATTGTATTGCCAGGATGTAGTTTGCCCCATGTTCGGGTGAGGGAGGCTTGAGCCAGCGAGTCGCTTCAAGGTGGGCCGGGGCGTCTGTGTGGGAAGTTTGGCCCAATTCTAACCCTGCAACTCCCAAACTCAAGGTCAATGCCCCCCAAACCCATTATTATGATTATTGTGACATGCCTACCCCGCCCTTCTCACCCCAATGGGGGACTCAGGGCGGCTTCCAGACCATGACATACAATGCCACGCTAC